ATACAAGTTCTCGTTATGTGGTTTAGACTCGTAATGATATGGGCATTGAACTCAGGATCTTGCCCTTGGCAGGTAAGCACTTATGCTACTGAGCTATCTCCTTGGCTCCCAACTTATATTTTTAAAATGAACAACGTGAGTAAAACTTTGTATCCCTATTTGTGTAAAGTTAGGAGAAGTTTTAATTTATCTGTGTTGAGTGTTTTATAATAATACATTCATGTGTAATTAGGAAAATAGTTTTAACATAAGAAAGTTAACTGCATGCTAAAGAAAGGAATATACCACGTTGCCATTAAAATGCTATAGACAAACACCATTAGAACAAATCATTCTATTCATTAAGAGAATGCAACTATATATCTATCCTAACCACTTGGAATACACAAATACAAAATGGTGTTTGTAAATAGGATCACAAGTCCACTTCTTGTACAGCAATTAACCATTAAGAAGAATATATGCAGTGTATTATTTGTTGAAACTGTACTTCCGATTGGATTTGAAACTGTCTCATTGCTATCTGTTTATCAATAAAACTTTGAAAAAAAATGCTATAGACAAATATGCAATGACATGAAAAATATTCACTGGGTTATAAAAACAGTAAAATGCTATGATAATATTTTAAAATGTACATATAATATATAAAAAAGGATCAGAGGCCATAAAACCAGAACTTTAATTGTCCCATCTGGGCAGTGGGGTTATAAATTTTTTCTTTTGATATTTTCTTTATTCTTTCATATGTATTTTCTTAGTATTCTGCAATAATAAGAATTAAAATGCATGTGTGTACGGTGGTAGCATTGGTTAGGACTATAGTACTGGAGGAATGAAGTTAGCAAGAGATCTGGGGATTGCTGCAGATTGAAATGTAAACTAGTGCTGTGGATTATGTGGGCTTTGAGAATTAAATGTAGAGACTAGATTTTAAGTAGACTATGAATTAAAAGCAGAAAGGTAGGGATTAGAACTAGGAGAGTAATGTTTATTAGAATTAAGCCAGATGCTGTGAGAATATAGAATTAGAATCAAATGGTTTATTAAACTGAAAAAACTTTTGAAAAATATGATAGTAATATGGATAAGGTTAAGGAAATAGTGGAATAAACTGAAATTTTCATATAATTTTTGGTGAGATTGTGCATTATTACAACTCTTCTAGAGAATTTGTTCTGTGTTTTGGGGAGGATTGCCATTTTGATTGTAGCTACTGAATTTCTACAAATTTTTCCTTGTGAAAAACTTAGAAATATTCAAACATTTATTTATTATAAAAATCATGTCTCTATTATTTTTTTCTTCCCTGTAAAGAATGAATTATGCACAGAGGGGAGTAGGAGCTCAATCCTTCCCAGCAGCTGCTCTGCTCAAGTCGTACAGGACTTTGCTAGGCATCTCCTGTTTCCTGTGTGTCCACTCTTTCTTGAAAAATCTGCGGCCCATTTGCACTTGCAGCTTTTGAGCAGATCCATTGCCTGTGCTCCTAAAGCACAAGGGGACACACCTCTGGGTTCATGTACTGTACTACATACACTTTGGGGTGCTTAGTCTTGATTACATTCCGGACAGCTGTGAGCACGTGTACTGCTCTTCCATGGCTGCTGTGGCAGAAGCCATGTCTGTATTTCTGTTAATAAAAAGGATCTAATAAGTAATTTGCCTTTCGATGAAAATAACATTCACTCATTAAAAATAACATCGTAAGACTGGTCAACAAGACACTCTATGTCAAAGGGTCCTCTTGTATATCCCCTGAGATATTGTACAAAACTTAATCTCTAAGTATATATGGGGGAGATGGATCCATTCAGCAGATTCTGAATTCAAGACAGGAACACTATTCTGTAAGTTTGCAATTAAAACCCAAGAATATAATTACAGCTTTATTTCCTCTACGTCTCGAGTTGTTTGTTACACTTTAAAAATTAAATTAACACGTATTTTTTGTTGAAAATCTAAATCTTATCAAAGTTGAAATCAAAACTGTCCAGTCGTTTCACACTCCAATCTCATTCTGAACCTCCAGATAAAGCATGGTCAATGGTAACTCTTACCACATCCTTTTTATTCCTATGCGTTTACAAATACAGATTCCTTGCAAATCGCACAGCCACACCAAATAATGCTAAGGAGAAAAAGAATGTCCGACAGTTTACTATGTACTTGAAGCGTTTTAAAGGGCTTGCAACTACTATCAGTGTTCAGCCCTTCAGTGTCTTGACTTGCCCTATTGCTCTGGTCCCCACATTTTTCAAGGCAGCTGGAGAGGTTTTTAGTTTTTAATTAAATTATGTCCCCTTCAGCAGGTTCCACTGTGACTCAAATCAAATACCAATTCCTTCGTGACCCCACTATCGTTTCTGGCGCGGCCCCTCGCAGAGGACCTGCTTCACTACAGACTGAGCGCCCTCTCAAGGGTCAGAGGCGGGGCTTTCGGTGCGGTGGGTGGAGCCTCAGATCAAGTGTGAGCCGAGTTACGGGGGGAGGCTTTCTACTGAGAGTGAGCAAGGGGTGCGGAGCTGAAACAGGGCCACAGACCCCCGCAAGCTTTTGCCGGCTCCACGGAACCTCTGCGGCCAAGGTGAGCGTTCAAAGCCCAGGATAGGGGGCGGGTTCAATTCAAAGGGCCGTCTTCAGCTCTCGGTGTGTTGAGGGGTGGGGAGGGGACGGTTCCCACGGGACCCTGCGCTGAGGCTCGGAGGTGGCGGCCTTAAGAAGCCTAAGGGAAAGGCTGCTGGAGGGACTAGGCGGCCCGCCCCCGCCCTCTTGAACCCCGCCTCCTCTCCCCTCCCCCAAGGCCTCAGCCCGCGCCACCGGAGAGCTAGCTGCATCTTCCGGGACAGTGGCACAGCGGCCCGCAACGCATCGAGAGACCGACGACTGTGGAGATGCGAGGTATCGACATTAGCCATAACCAAGTAGCCATAGAGACAGACTAGAGGCCAGGCCTTCGATATTTCTCTCTGGGTTCGAGGAAGGTGGCCTCAGAGGAGAGGGAAGGTGAGGAGGGGGCGAGCAGGCTTCGCGGGTAACTACTAGACTATACAGATATATGTGATATAGATACATATCACATATACAGTGTATCTATATAGTGTATCTATATGTTTTACTGTTTAAATGGTGCTATACACATTCATTTCAGCTAATTGTTTTGTAAAATTTTAACCATATTTTGTAGATCGTCCTATGTTAGGGAATCCAAATTTATCCCAGTTTTTAAACAGCTGCATTGTATTATTGTACTACAGTTTAACCATTTCCTGATTGCTTGCTTCTCTTTTGGTGGGAGGGGGTTATTGCAAGCAATGCTGTGATGAATGGGCTTGTATATGTTTTATGAACGTGTATGAGTATTTCTCTAGGAAATTATTAGAAGAGTGTTGGATCAAAGTGTATGCATTTTGAATTTTGATGGTTTTTTTCAAATTGCTTTCCCATAAGGATATACTAATTTACACTCTTCGATGTTGTGCAAAGTGCCTGCTTTTCCATAGTTGTATCAACATGAATTATTATCAGTCTATAATTTTAGCAAATTTAAAGGAAAAACTCGAATGTCATTGTTTTGATTTGCGTGATTAATTCCAAGTACACTGAACATTTTTATTTGACTACAAAATTGAGTATAGGTAAGTCTTCCTACCTACAAGCAAGTAGGGTTTTGTAAATTTAATGACAAAACCCCCCCACTTGGGATAGCAAGAAAAACGCATACAAATACCTGAAAGTAAACTATAGAACTTTATTGAGGAATATAATAAAAGCGTTTGTATAAATGGAGACAAGGTACCTTACCTCTGGATAAGAAGGCTCAATTTTGTAGTGATGTTCATTTTTTCCTATATTGATTTATGCAATTTCAATAAATATAGCAAGTTTTTGGAACTTAATATTGATTCTAAAGTTCATCTGCAGGGCAATGGCTAAGAATAACCGAAAATATTTTAAAATATAAGATGGGGTATTTGTATTTTTCGCTATTAAAATGTACTACTCACTATTAAATTTGCGTTAGAATGGACAGAGCAAAGCCTTAGATTGGAAAAGCCCACAGATCGAGCCAGATTGGATCTTAAGGTTTGGAGAAACATTGTTGGCTAGACGTGGAAAAACTGCCATATTAAAAGCTTTAAGCACTCATCATCCCCTCCCCCAGCTTGAATTTGCTTTTGAGGGCAGTCTCCTTTGTTTGGAGAAAACCACTTTATTGAGTCTTTTTGGTTATGTCCAAGTAAAGCTTCAGTAGTTAAAAAATTGGTGGCTTTGGAGCGATAAGTAATGATTCGAGCCTTTAGTTAGACTAAGATGGATTCAGGCTAGCCTGCAGTGCGGCGAGGGAAGGAGCCTGGATATTATAGGTCTTTTGAATTTTTTTCTGATCTAATGTGCAAAAAATGTTATGTCATTGTTTTCATTTGCATTTGCATCCTTATTGTGAGATTGAACATCTTTTCTGTGTTAGTCCAGGATGATATGTTTTTCCTGGAGGTAGGTAACAATGGGGAACCCTTTGCTCCCCTTCCAGAATGGAGTTTGACTAATTGGTTCTGCCCTGCCCGGAAGCGTGAGAATAAACAGGTTGACTTTTAAATTTTTCTCAAGCACTTGGCAAGCTGTAGACACCTAGATCGGGGGCGGAGGCAGTTTTCAGGACATGGCCGAGATTTGGCGCTGAGCTGTGTCATCGCGAGGTTTGGCAGCCAGCTCCGCAGTGGGTCGGAAACCTCGTGGTAGGCGAGATGCCTGCAGGACCAAAGCTTCCTCCCTTTCCGCGAAAAACTCCCAGTCATTTTCTTGAGGCCCCACCTCTCTCCTATTTAGGAGCGTGCACCAGGTCTCGCGAGATCTCTTGTTTCCTAAAGGCGAGGCGCGGGCTGCATCTTGCGGTGGATTTCGAAGGTCTCGCCGTAGCGAAAAGTAGTATCGCGATGTTCTCACAACGCATGCTGAAGATTAACTCCGCCCCTTAGTGGTTTGTGAGGTTGTGCGTCATTTGCTTTTTGCTTCGCGTAGGGTGCAAGCCGAGCTGAAGCGATTTCGAATGTGGTGGAAGGAGGGCTCTGGGAAGGGCTGGGCTCAGGCTTTCTCCGTCCGGTAAAGGTTCTCGCGGGATTTTGTGAAGGCGGCAGCGGTTCGGCTATTGACTGCAGCAGCCGCGAAGGCGGTGGTAGCAGTTTTTGGCTCGCGTGGTTTTTGGTGAGTTATCGCGGGAGCTAGCATAAGTCCTCGTGGGATCCTTTGGCTGTGGTTCTGATAGCCGGGGGTGGGGGGTGGGGGGGAGGGGGGGCAGTGACTAGGGTCGGTCCGCCTGCTGTTAAGATGGCGGCGGAGGCTGATGTCTGTCCAGCTAGCACCCGAGACCGAGGTGTTGGCTATCCCCGTTTGTGACGCCCCAGGTACACGGCATTAAGGGAGTGACGGATGGTGAAGTGGCGAGGCCCCGGTAAACCGCCTGAAACCAAGACCATCCCGTTTCTAGGTGGTTCAGGCGACACCATTTCCCGGGCCTCGGCCGCGTGTGGGGCCTGCCTTCGCCCCACCAATTGGTCATCGTCTTCGTTGTCATCGCTGCCGCAGTGGGGAGTTGGGAAGTATGCAAGGCGAGTTCCGAGTTCGTTGGATACTGAGGTTGATCGTTAGATTGGGTAGTAGGAGAAAGAGGCTCAACAAACGACGAGTAGTTACCTCCCCCTACCATTTTTACGGTCCGCCTCCGTACTTTTAGCCTTGCGATGACCTTAGTTTTTAATGAGTTTAGGTGGGCTTAGCTCGACTCTCATGGTCTTTGAACTAAGGTTTGGGGTCAAGGTATAAAGTCTAACGTACTCCTTTTCCTTTTGCAAAATTCTGTCTCCCTGACATTGTCCCTCATTCTACGCGGATAGTGGAGACTTATTTAAGGGGTGAATTTGTAGCTTTTCCCTGTTCCCTCCTCCCTGTTTTAGTTTAGCGCTTAGCCCGAGTCCTCTAGCTTGACCCATCTTCCTCTTCCCTGGGTCTCTTCGCCGCAGGCGTTTAATAGAGTCCATCACGTTCCTTGAATTTACTCCATGTTTTTGTGGATGGAGTCAAAGCAGCCTTCCATTTCCTGAGGTCCTCATGTTTGCATGACCCTGATTTGGGCACAAGGTACAGAATTCATTTCTGCGTGCAGCTAGACCACTCTTAAGTGTAACGAATGAAGTAGTGGGGTCTGTAGTTGGATATTGGAGTCCTTGTGGCTTCCTCACACCATTACCTCCCAACCAACTTTTTGTCTTTGGCCCCGCCCCCATTTCCTTTGCAAGACTGGGACCCGCCCCTTTTCTCTGCCTTGCTCATTTTCTGTAGTAGCCTCTAGATCCATGGACATCTATTTTTGCTGCTATTTCTTTAATTCTTGGATTTCCTTACCCCCGCCACACACACACTCCAAAAACTCTTTTCTAGGAGCTGAATCTCTTGAAGTGCTGCTGGGCTACCTGTGTTTTCCAACCCACCATGTGTTAAAACATCATTGATAGATTGTATCCTTCCTTGTCCTACTTTATTTCCTCTTCTACTTACCGTCATTACTATAAACAATTACCATTTGCTTCCTTTGTAAATTACAGGTTGAGCTTTGCTTTGTTTGGGCTCTGATATTCATTGAAGAGACACCAATACTATGTTTCTCTTTCATATGAGGCAGTCGGGTATGGTGGATATATTGTACAGTATGTGCTTTGGCTTCACGTTAAACTTGGTGACCTTGGACAGATTGTTTCACATTCTCAATTTGTTTAATTATGTAGTGGGAGAGTAATGATAGAATTTAAAAGGATTTTACTGGAGTTGGAAAATTTATAAAATGCCTGGCTCATGGTAGGCATAAATTGCCATGGCTTTTTTTTTTTTGGTGTAAGACTTAAGTTTTTGAAATATTTCTAGGCCAGATATATCATTTCTATATTTTCCCTCTCACCTTTCCCTCTCACCTTTAGCTGTAGTGTGGTTCATGATAATTCCCATTCTGTTTCTTTCTATCCTAAGAATTTCAGTACAGTGCCTCACCTGGAATAACTACTAGCCATAATGATGTTCCTGTCAAGCACCACACCCAGGTGTTTTTGTTTTATCTTTTGGAAGGGATGTCTCACCCCTTACCTGTTCATTCCTTCAAAAGCAGTCTGTCCTGTCATTCACCCTACGAAAGAGTTGAAATTGGTTGTCATACATTTTACAGAGTTAAAGAGAACTTTCTGCTACCTGGTTTACAAGTGTTTGTGCTGTTTTCCCCCTGCGTTTATTTGGCTCCTTAGTGTGGGGATCTGCTATTTGGAATTTTTACCTGAGCAGGATGATTCCTGGAACATGAGATTGCTTTGGGTGCCAAGCTGCCTTTTTTTTTTTTTTTGTAGTACACTACCTCCTGTTGTGTTTTGTCATTTTATATTTTCCAGTGTACTTATTAACTGGAAGAATATTTGAATTGGAGATAATTTTTCTTACTGTTAGTGTTTTCATTAGACCAGTATTACTCTGGTTAGTAGACGTGGGTGTTGAAATAGAACTTTACTAGTGAAAAGCATACTGTCATTGAAAATTTACAGTGAGTAACTATCCAATAATTGTGTGTGGACTTTAGTATTGAGTTTCAGAATTTGCTTTAGTTTGAACTGTTTTGGAAGTAAATTTACCCCTCCCCCCCTTTTTGGTACTGGTACTTGAACTCAGGACCTTGTGCTTTTCAGGCAGGCACTATGCCACTGAGGGATATCCTTGGTCCCCATTTTTCTTTTTGAAAAGAGATTACTTTGAGATTATGCTTTTGTGCCTTTTACGTGGGTAAAAAAGTGATCACAAATTAACCCTTATTTTTTTTTTTTTTTTTTGGAACCGGGGTTTGAACTCAGGCCCTTGCGCTTGCCAGGGAAGCATTTATTCCACTGAGCCATCTCCCCAGCCCCTAACCCTTATTTTGACTTGTCATTCATTCAGCATTAGAATAAATCTGAGAATGATAATTTAGGTGTGGCCTAAAAGGTTTAATTTATTCTAGGTAGATTTCTGAGAAGACAGTAAAGAATGGACATATCAAATACAAACTTCGTATAAAGTTCAATGGTAAAGTTCAACCTGAGTTTCCAAGGTTGTTTACCATTTGTCTCCCCATGTGGCCAAAAAACATGTGAACACGGTGTCCTAAATTTCATTGTAGCTGTTGGTTTCTGACTCTGAAGTTACTGCTCAAAACAGATCCTTAAAAATACAAATTAATGTGAATGCTGTTGCTTCAGAAATAATAACTGATTATGTGAAAACATTGATATAATGGTTAACGCTCCTACACCCTTAATAAACGTGTATCTTTGTCTCCCCACACACCTTTTTTTGTAGGTCCTCCACTAGCCTGACCTGAGTGGGTTAGTGCTCCAGAGAAACCAGCAAACAGACCAAGTTGGTTGGGAAGGTACAGAAACCTATTGGAGCAGTGTTGGGATTTCCCATCAGGATGAGTATGATTGGCTGTGATTTTAGGTTAGTTTTTGTACATTTTTGTTAGTATTTGTATCTTTCTTCCTGAAATGGAGATGGTGGAGGAATTTATCATATTGAGCTACTTTGGTTTTTTCCGTTGCCTGGATTTGATGTGAGACTAGTTGCTTCTTGCATTTAAGTGGCACTAATCACTGAATTAAAGGGAACTGTTTAAATACATTCTATTTGTATGTGCCTTTTAATTAAGCATAATTCAAAAAATAACTATTATCTCTAATTGTTTTTAAAGGTTATAAAAAACTTGAAACAAAACTGAATTACGTAGTGATCACTTCACATAACCATTACCAGCTTTAACATTTATCAGAATGCAGCCATTCTGTTTGATGTTTTTTCAGTCACTTCCCCACTTGATAACCTTGAGCTCAATCTTCCTGGTTATTTTTATATGTAGAATTGCTGAATAACAAGGGCTCTTTAAATATAGTCTCAAAATCATTGTACAACTGTAATATTCACCGAAAATATGAAGCAAGTATTCAAATTTCTTGTGTTCTCAACTTTGTTTTCTTTACAGTCTAAGGATTCAGAGAGAATACTTTTGTCAAAAAGGGTTGATGTAACTCTTCAATCTGTTTTAATCTGTAGGTTCACTTTTATTGTTTGTTCATCCACTTTATTTGTTGAAGAAGTTGGTCAGTAGCATTTCCCCCACATTTGGGGATTATTATCTATTGATAGAGTCTAACCTGTTTTTGTTAAAGACCTTTAGCACCCATTATAATGGAACAAATGGTAATCTCCTGTATCCTAGTTGGAATTGATACTGCTAGCCTAATCACTATCCTAAAGTAACTAGTCATGGATTCCTTTTTGTCTGGCAAAGTCTGATTTGATACTTGACTTTATTTCCATGTCTTGGCCCCGCTTCCTGTTCTACATGAAAAGTAGGCCTCCTAGTAGAAGAGGCTAATGTTTCCTAGATAATGTCTTGATTGTACCTTTGGGTTTTTTTGTGTGTGCATCATTTCAGTAGCTTTAGCTGATTTTGTTATTTTTTTAATACTAATTACTTTGACATCTCAAGCACTTTGACCTGTTACTTCTCAACTAGTGATTTCTGTCATAATTCTTGAAATGACAATGCTAAAACAATTTTTGGAAGCTTCCGTTTAGATCTGATTTTCAGGTGTTAATAGAGAACTATACTTTTCCTGTTGAATGATATTTTTTAAACTGTTTCCTTGTGCAGTATTAGCCCTCTGGGACCCTACCCTTGTGTTCTTCCATGATCAAAACCAGATAATAGAAATAGAACTTACAGGCTCCAGCTAGCCTTTGATTTAGGCACAAATGGGAGCAGAGCAGGACACCTTTTTATGTATTTAGTACAGGGTCTATAGGGTCTCACTACACAGATCAGACTCATAGTGATCCTAGTTTTCAGCCTTCTAAGCGCTGGGATTACAGGTGTGTGCCACCTTGCCCAGTCTCAGTGTGCTCTGGGGGCAGGGCTGCTACACATGCTAGGGATCAAACCCCAGTCCCTGGGTTTGCCTAAGCAGGCACTTTAATCTGCTGAGTTGTCTGGCTGGCCCTACTTGTTCTTATCTTTAAAAGTAATTTAAAGTTAAAAGGAACAGTAATAGGAGAAGTCATCATGAATTAAAAGTTTTAGGTTTTTAGATGAAATACTATTGTTAATTACCAGTGCTGTTGATCATGAGTTCAGGCTTTTCAATTAGATGTTCATTCATGATGAAATCAGTCTGAACTTGAGAACTGACTAAACTTTAGTGAGATGGTTGGGCATGGGGGTGTACACACCTTTAATGCCAGCACTTGGGAAACAGGCAGGAGGATTACCAAGAGTTTGAGGCCAGCATGGTTTACATAGCTACCCTGGACTACACAAGTGCCATTCAAAAAAACAACAAAAAATTAAAGATGTTTTTTCTTGGGAATTATAGCTAGCCCATACTTGTCAATAAAAGCAGTTTTGAGCACATTGTATATAATGAATAGATATTTGCTAAATTTTTTGCAGCTAGAAAGTTTAAACGTGGCCACTTAAAACCTAAACTTGAGTTTTTGAAATTAGGATAACTGTATAGTACAGGTATTAAACTTTGTGCACAATAGACTTTACAATATTTGAATGTTTCCACAGCTCAAAAAAGTATTTATTGGTATGTTTGCCATGCCTATTTACATTTGTCTTGGGGGATTGGTACATAACTTGCATTTTGATCATTTTTATTTTCCTTTCCCTCCACCTGTACCACCACCTCCCTCTTCCCTAGATACCCATTCTACCTCCATAGAATCTACCTAAATGTTTCTTAGGATCATTTATTTTGTCTTCTAAATTAATTATATAGAAGTCATGCAGTATTAACTGTGTCTGACTTGTTTCACCTAGTATTATGGTATCAAGAACCATTCATTTTCCCATGACTGCTTCAGATTTATTTATAGCTGAGTAATACTCCATTATATACATGTACCAAAATTTTTTCCTTATTTTTTGTTGATGGGCATATAATATGGTTCCATAATTCAGCTATTGTGTTTTATGCTGCTATAAATAGGGTTATACATGTATCATACATATGTAATATGATATCTTTAACTTTCAGGAAGCTACTCAGAAGAGGTATAACTGGGTCAAAAGGAATTGTTATTTTTAAATTTTAGGGGAATCTACACACTGATTTCCATAGTGTTTGCACTAGCTTACATTCTCACCAGCAATGTGGAAGAGTTCCTTTTCCCCAACAATCTTGCCAACATTTCTTGGTTTTTTTTTTGAGTCCTTGATGATAGACATTCTTAGTGGGACAAAATGAAATCTCAGTGTTTTGATTTGCATCTTGCTAGTGGCCAAAGATGTGGAACACTTATGATGTGCTTATTGGTTTTTGTATTACTTCTGAGGAGTGTCTGTTCATTTCAGTTGCCAAATTTTTGATTGGGTCTTATATTTTGGAGGGATCTAATGTTTTTCTTTAATTCTTTATATAGTCTAGATATTAATCCCCTATTCAAGGGGTAGTTGGCAATTTTTTTCTTATTCCATGGTTTGTCTTTGTATTCTGTTGGTTGTTTGGCTTAGCAGAAATTTTAAAATTGATACAGTCCCATTTATTGACTCTTGGTATCTTATTTAGTATAATTGGAATTCTGTTTAGGAAGTATTTGCATATACATATGTCTTCAAGAGTTATCTTCCAGGGGCCGGGGAGATGGCTCAGTAGAATAAGTGCTTTCCTGGCAAGCGCAAGGGTCCTAGTTCAATCCCCGGTTCCGCAAAAATAAATAAAGTACCTTAAAAAAAAGTTATCTTCCAAAAGTTTGGGGTATCTTTTTCTATTTAGGTCTTAGATCAGTTTTGATTTGTGAGAGATAGGGATGTAGATTCTTTACATGAATAACTTGCTTTCCTCAGCACAGTTTGTTAAAGAGGCTATCTTTTCTCCGGAATATGTGAAAAATGAGATGGGGGTTTGTTTCTGCATCTTCTATTTATGCAGTATATCCACTTTTAGCCAGGCACATCCCTGTAATCCCAGCACTTGAGAGGCTGAGATCGGGGGATTGCCACAGGTTCAAGGCCAGCCTGGGTTACATAGCAAAACCCTGTCTCAAAAAAGTCTGCTTTTGTGCCAGTGCCACACTGTTGTTATTACTGTAGCTTTCCACAGTTAACAGTTTTTAAGTTAAAGACTTAAAGTTTTTTTTTTCCTTTTATGTGTTTCAGGTACAAATTCATAGTATCATTAAAATGTCAAACTTGGTTGCTTTGAAACTATTCGCATTTCATGTTACCAGTACCCTTCCTGGAGTAAGACTTAAGTTGTTGAAATCTGTTGTGTAGGTGTATCCATATTAGGTTGCTGTACAGTAATCTCATCTGTAAGATATTTGCAAGCATTTGGGCTTTTGGTGTTTTCTTTTTCTTTTTTTTTTTCCATAATTTTATTGAGAAATAGCAGTGAGACAGTTTCAAATCAAATTGGTAGGACAGTTCCAATAATTAACACATTGCATACTGTCTTCCTAGTGGTTATTTGTTGTACAAGATGCAGACATGATACCCTATTTACAAACACTATTAGAACAAATCCCTCTATTCATTGAATTAAGAGAATGTAGCTATATATCTATCCTAACCATTTGGAATACACAGATGCAAAATGGTTACTCATCTGTATCCCCTTTTTTTGTTTAGTTCTATCATTTAAATATTGTAGGTGTGTGAACTCAGCAAAATATTACAAAATAGTCCAGTAGTCCATAATAGTATTGGGTCTTCTGCTTTTGGTGTTTTCTTGTATTGCTTTCCTGTGTTTCCTCAGTGACAGGTTATCAGATGTTTATGTATATTAATGTCAGGGATAATTCAGCTGAATATTTTTGGGAGGCTCTTCATTTGATGTGTCATAGTAGTTGAGTTGCTAAAACTTGATGTACTTGTTGACCGGCTTAGTTCTCTGGTTATATAAATGCTTTCATATATTGACGGGAGTGGCCCTCTGAGTAAAAAATTAAAAGTTTGGTTTGACCTGTTATCTTGAGAATTGTTCTTGTAAGAGCCTTTAAAAAGTTCTTAATCATTTAGCTTTTAAAATTATAACGGTGACAAAAAATTATAGAATGTGACTTGGAATTTGTTTCTGCTTTTATGAATTTACCATTAAATGTAGATTGATATTATAGATCTGATTCAGTTTGAATTGCTTAATTGAACTAGATAATGTTAAAAATTCTTCAACCCTGAGGTTCAGGTATAATTTTAAGTATTGAAAGTCTTTCTTTTTTAGTAAAGTGGTGACTAGAAGGGATTAAAACTAGAGAAAACTTTTAATTATTTCAGAATGACCTAATTTAAATTTGAAATACTGGTAAATCTGCACATACTGCCATGAATTTATGCACCACCTTTAGCATAATTCAAGTTTTAAGTCTTTATAATTAAAGATGCTTGTATATGTTGTATTTAGTGGTTGCTTATATTTTGGACAATTTTAAAAGATTTA